TCAAACACCGCTGTCTACGTAGCATTGCACGTGTCTGGTGGGGTAACCGGACTAACAATACTGAGGTTAGGCGTAGAGTTTTAGGCAATCGCGGTCGTCCACTAGAGCAAGTGATCGACCTCCATAGATTACGCTGGTTGGGACATGTGCTATGCATGTCACCAGATAGGTTGCCACGGTGAACGATGTTTGCCAAAGCTGTTATCGATTGAAAAATAACAAAGGGCAGTCAAGCTAAGACCTGGCATGAGGGTATGAAAACCCCAACCAAGAGACTAGGTCAAATAAACCCCGTTAGGCTCCCTAGCTGGGGACCTCGGGATGATGGTCACCGATGGTTAGCTACACTGAGTGATATGGCAGGGTGGCTGGGGACCTCGGGATGATGGTCACCGATGGTTAGCTACACTGAGTGATATGGCTGGGTGTCGCAAACTCTGTCGCTCGTGCTTCCACTCGTTATTTTCCTAAAACCACTCTATATGTATTTCCCATCTTCCGCTTCATTCCGCTCGTTTATCCAAATGGGCAACCAAAAGACAGCAACCAAAACCGGCGCACGAAAGTGCATGGTTAATGGTTGTAACAACTGAACTGAACTGTAACTGTGCGGCCTTGACCAGACTATCGGCCACGACGTTATCTGACTCGATTTGGGCTCAAATTTGTCCGTCAGTTGGAAGCATAGCCTACAGTCGTCAAGGTAATGTGAAATTTACGCGTGTAGATTCCAATGCTGTCGTAGAAGTTAGACAGCTCGCGAAATCCGCGGTATCTCTCTGACGATATAAACCTTATTCAGGAGAGTGTGATATCCAAATGACAGAGGAGGAACGAAAAAGGGCTTGTGATTAAAATGTTAGCATTATTTTACATCTTAGTTATGTTATGTTCTTCATGGAGAGGAGTCAAAAGTCTGTGGAGAAGAAGGTGGTTGGTTAAGATTGATGAACTTTCGTGAATATTGCTGACACATTTAGAAACGGTAAGTCATTTCCTTCACGGAGCTCTAGCGATTAGTCTGACTACCGACCATAGCTGCTCGTTGCCTTCATGTGCAACAAGTAGATACTGGTTCATGGAATTTGATACATTATAATTCATGAAAATTGCACCAGATGTCATTGGGTTCCCCAAAGGTGATCATATTCAAGATTACTAAACTCTTTCCAATGCAGTGATGCATCAATCAATCGATCAATTAACCTGTGATAAGCATTCAAACAAGTAGTTTCTACAACTGCGTTTACACTAATGGAAACGCATTGATTGTCTGAATGGTCTCACAGAGCTCGTTAGGAAAAACAAATACAGTGTCGAAAATCCTTGTGTTCAGTGATTCGTAATCATGCCAACACATCTCAATATGTATCACTGATTCGAATTAAAATTGCCTTGGTGATCCAAAATCATATCACACATTACGATTGTGATAATTCCACAAGACAAGCACCGGGATGTGGAGAACTGTCTATTTGGAAGAAGGATGAGAATTTGGAAGCATAGTTTCCTCATAACGAATTGGAATAAAGAAACCAAAAACATAGGTTTGCTCATTATATCCTGATTCCTTTCGCTGTGTTTGTACACGTGCATACTGAAATACGCCGAGGCACTAGCCATTAAAAAGTACCGTCCCAAACTGTGTAAACAGTGTGAATGGCTTAGAACTCTGGCGCTACCTTGGTAACAAATGTGTTTGGTGAGTAATTTTGACAGCAATGTTTCTCCATCTATGATTCTGTTTTATACCGACCATTTAGTATTGATCACATGGACTACAGCATGCACGTTTACAGATGCAGCGAAATGATCCAGGATACATTGAGCAAACGTTTATTTTTGGCTTCTTTATTGAAAGGATGAGAATGTCGATAAATTGGATTACATAGAACGAACCGTAACATCTGAAACCACTCACTCATAATTCCAATAATCACATGGGATAAGTGGTGAAACAGTCCGACGTTGGTGACAATTTTGAACACACTAAATCTCCCTATATGTCCGTGTTCATTTCTGACCGTTATGAAAAACCGCTGATCACATTTGTTTCCCTAACTGAAACATGCTACTCACAAATGTAAGTAGTATCTCACAAAACTTGAAGTCAGATTCACAATGATCGCATAGCTGTTGTTGTTGTTCGCTCACTCATCGCTTAACGTGAGCTTTTTAGCCAATCTATGAGTGTGCTGCAGTTTTAAAACACACATAATAAATTATTATAACAATACAATGAATCCGAACGAAAGTACATGAAATTATTTTGAACAGCATAACTACGCAGCAGAAATAAGTTCTGTACTCTACCGCCGTTAAATTCTGGACTCTTGTCCGGATGATAATAACGAACCAGTTTTGATTCGTGAGCAATGTTTATGCTGGGGTTTATCGACGTACCAGATCTACGCCTAAATGTTCCATTGTTTGCGTGCTCCAACGAGAGCGATTCTCGATTTGCGCAAGTATTGTCAGTTTCATATAAAGACCTTGGTTATCAATTTTTAGTTGGAGGTGGAGGGCTCTTGACTGATTCGATCATGAAAACCTTAGGTTATGTATGGGTATTTTTTGGTTGAAATCAATTTTTCCTTGTTCCCTGGATGATTGGGCAACGAAGCTACTAATTCAATAGTAGTATTGGGAATATCTTGGGTTTCGGTTCCACTCTCTTGAGCACATGAACTTTTGATTGCTCATTCTTATTTAAGGGACCTTTAGAATGGAATAAAGAATGTTAGGTTTCAAGTGAGTGGGACAGCTGTTTCGACCTGGTTCGGTCGCATGAGCAGTGCGAATTCACCCATTACTCACTTGAAAGCAGTAGTTAGGTTGTGAAAGTCCCCAACCGAGTCATAACCCTGGAGGCTAGTGCTGAGATGAGCAGGGTCTGGGGCCCGCAACAAGCTCGCAAAGATGGGTTCTGCTATATCGTATATTGTGCTGACGAGCGGACGGTCTATTTGTGTCCTCTAGGTTTTTGTGCATTTACTCCGCCAAAACCATTCCTACATCATCGAACTTGGGCTCATTTTACATTGTTTCACCAGCTCTCTCTTCTGGTAGACATCTTCTGGACATAAATTCCTGGATCCAAGCTATGTTCATGTTTTTGGATTTCAACGTAATTCACGGGGGCATCTACGCGCGCAAAAGTTTTGTTGCCCTTCGTACCAGCACCATTGTGATCCCATTGTGAAGATAAATTCCCATTCTAATCAACGAGTTGCTAATCAGCTCTCTATGCACATTTGCAAGAAAGCTACAGATCAAGTTGTGGAATACATTTGTGATTGTTATCCTCGCACGCACGTGTCCGTTTCTCCATCGTCGACCTCATCGATCGA